AAGAAAATCTAATGACTAGATTTTCTATAAATAAACAAAACCGATTTTAAAGGCCTGTTTATATTTATTCATGTTGCCATGGCAATGGTACATACGTCAGCTTAACCATCAAAAAACCAAAGTTTGTGTTGTTAACTTGCTGCCAATTTTGGCGACCGAGGGATCAAGGGTTTTAAAGAAAAAGGTGAATGAACACAGGTATCAAAAACTGTGTTCAGCCACCTTAAGCTATGTTGTAGCAAAGTGTCCAAATTTTTTGTCTGAAATTTGTCCGAAATGAGATAAAAATTGTCCAAAAACTAACTGTCCAAAACAAAAGGTCCAATTTTTTTGGCAAGGAATGTATACTATGAAATATCCAACTTGTTGATTTTATTTTCTCAGTATACACATGCACAAGCTTTGCGAGAGAGTGTATACCAAGGATATACCATGATTAAAGTCACAGTTCTCTCAGCAGGCATTCTAATGAGTGGACAGCTCTTCTTGTGGCCACCTTGACAACAGGTAAAACTCTGTATATTTTCACAAATTCCCTTACGTGGACATAACCATAGGTATACACAAGCTCTCAAAGGGGTGCAATTTAAACTTGTATAATTTTAAAGTCTGTTAATCTAATAAATAAAGCACACCTACACAGCAAAATACAAACAAACCTATTGGCAAAATCTGTTCCTGTTGTATATTTGGAGACATGACACAATCCTCTATAGGAAAAAACACGATGACTGGTACATTTACCCATAATTCATAGCACAAAAAACCACTGACAATGTTCATAAATATGCACAGGGGAGTTCTAGAACCTTCAAACCTGCATGCATAGTGTTGTTAGTACAGGGACAGATATTGCAAAAGATCAGTGTCTTTGTGCCTAATGGGCTGTGTTAGGTTCACAAGGTATTATGGCAAAATGTACAGCTGCCATCTTTTTTCCTACAGAGGACTAGTAAGAAGATTAACCATTGCAAGTACTTACTTGTTTTCCCTAAAACATTCTGCTCCACCTGAAAGTGAATTTAAAAAAAATGCTACACAAAATATACTTGACCATTTATTTATTTCAATGCTATAGGTGAAATCATGCCAGTGAGCATTTCCTAGTTTCTGTGGCATGAAGCGACCAGGAGTATTTCTACTCCCCCCTCAATGGGATGCTAGTCCATCGCAGGGCTACCCCCGGCCCCCACCATTTAAACACCTAGGTGAAGAGAGGCACTGTGAGTAAAGTGTCTCGTTAAAGAACACAAAGCAATAACCCAAGCCAGGACTCAAACCCAAACTGCTCAGTCCAGAGTTCTTGAATTATCCACACTAGTAAAGAAAATGTACAGAAAAATGATAGGACTATATTGTAAATGTAGTGGACATTTTGTTGTAAACATCAATAACAGTGTGAAAAAAAAGTTCAATGAGCAGGAAAAAAAGGAGACAAAAGGAAACTTAAAATCTATTCCTACTAGATCATCTCTTGCATTTATTTATCATTAGAGCACTCATGTGCTTCAAGATCCCTGACAAACACCCCTCATGTGCATCATCAAACATCAAACATATTCTCATCTATCCCATACTGATGATACATGGCTATGACGACCTATGATGCACCTCTCAATAGAAACAAGTGGAGACGCATTGGATCAGTCTCTTGACCATTAGATACAGCCTTCATGATGTGTCACCAGACTGCAAGTCACATGTACAGCTGTGGTAAATATCCCTTTGGGGTTTTTACATACCTCTCTTCTAGGAACCATTTTGAGCCAGTCATTGAGGTAAAGAAAGAGATTGACTGCATCTGATATGTTGTCACCCTCAGAGCAGAATGTTAACAACACAGCAAGTGGAACGTCGTCTTTGCAACTTTAAGAGAAAATAATGCACAGTAGTTATTTAAAATTCATTCAAGCAACACCATTGAACAAATTCAGATGCAGATACGTGAAGACAAAACTTAAGCTACTTAACAGCTTCTAACAAATCACTGGGTTTGGTGTATACTCTTACCATGCTTCATAGAATTTTTTTGTTATTCCTCCTCCAGGCAGATAGAAATCTCTATTTTCATCAGATAATTCTAGCAGATAAATAAACAACAACAACTGCACTTCATTTAACAGAAAACCCTGCAGCACAAGACACCATTTTTGCTGACTCCACATCACCCCCCCCCCCAAAAAGTGTAACATTTCACAGACCCAAGCTGTTGAACTGTACACAATGGCAATGGAAGTTAGAAATTTTGTGACAACCGTAGAATTCCGTCATTCACCTACCATTTGACAGAAGCCAAGATGAAAATCACGTGTTTTTGTCCATTTTTAAGAGTATCACCAAAATCATAAAAAATTTTAAGAGTTAAATATATATGGTTTTGGAGGATGCTGTCTCAACATTGGAGACATTTGTATGGATTTTGAGTCATGTCTCAAGGTCTATAACTTGGTCTCTGTCCACCCTAAAAGCATCAAACTTGGTCAAATGACTAATCTCAATGTGGTCTTTCACGTGGTGTTGTCAGTTTATCGATTTGTTAAAATTTGAAACTTGCCCTATTTCCCTGCGCAATTTTGGAAAGGCCTATTCTTCTTGCTTGCTTTGCTTGGAAACCCCACCACCCCCCGCATTCTTCGCATTCGCTTCGCTTGCTTTTTCTTTTGCATGCATAAATAGAGAGGCTGGGAACAGTCTAATAATCAAATGAAACAAGTGCCTTAACTCAGTCTAGGCACATATCATGATTTTACAGTCCACACATCACACATATTAATGATTCAAGTCACCTTCTGTCATGTGAGGAAATTTTGGTCTTTTTTCCAGTGTTTTCCAGGACAATCCATCAAACAGTGGAAGAAGATTCTTGGCTGCTGGTGTCACAAGATATCTCAAGGGAGAACTAAAACAAGATGATTTTTTTAAATGACGATGCAAAAAAAGGAACACAAAATGTTTTTAATAATAATTCATAAATCCTAGATTGAGCTATCCTATGGACAGATGGGTAATGATAAATTCAAGATTTTGTGAGCTGATAAGAATACTATTATTTATTATTATTATTATTATTGTTGTTGTTATTGTTATTGTTATTATTACTTTGTTGTGAAGCTTAGATTTTCTTAGCCCTGTAAAAGAAATGGAGACTCCGAAAAAGGCATGGCAAAAAATTGAGATGATGACACCCCAGAATTGGGCAATTAAATTTCCACAAGATGTATATCTTTAGAAGGACCATTTCCAATCCTTTTATTGTAAAATAAGTCATCTTCACAAAGGATGAGTGTAGCCATTAACGGGAGGGTAAAAATGTTCTTGAATAATTTTAATTCAAAGTTCAACACAATTTTTCAAAAAAGGTTACAAGTTACATTGAGCAATAGCGTAGGTGCAGTCATAGGAAAAAAAACTTTCTCAATCAGTTACAACTAATTGTTCAGTTTTTTTTAAACATTACATACCCTTCAATCTGTGAATCAAGCCGTTCTGTAGCACTAATACTAGAAACAAGAATAACTTGTTTAAATTTGCAACATTTGATCCAGCTAACAAGTTTTTTGCAATATTCAGCCTGACGACCCTAAAAAAACATACAAAGTTATTAGTTTCTAACAAGTAAAACACTTAATAGCTTCAGTTGTTAACCTTTTAATATATGATGTCCACTGTAAAGTTGATAAAGGTAAATTACCCACTATTAATGGCAAGTTTGTGAAGCTGACATTTCAAGTGTTAGCACATGAAAAGAAAACCCCCAAATACTCTCCTTTGTATGAGAAATTCAGTTGACTGACACCTTCATGTGGTCTGGTGATACAGTGTGTATACCAAGAACATTTAATTATCACTGGTAATTACCTTTACAAGTGGAGCTCTTTGTTGCACGACAACAAACTTTAGATCATCATTTTTGTACACTGCCAAAGAAAGAATACATGTTAAAGCAATATGTTTAACATTCCCAAGAAATCCACACACAAGATGCTATCACTACACATCAGATTTATCTAAAATGCTTTGCTATATACAGTATAAGTTACTGAATAGCAAGCCGCAACTCCTCTTAATGCAGGCCTAGTGGGTCAATTATTCATCTGAGTGCATATCATACAGTCTATGAATACCCTATACAGTCGAACCTCGATTATCTGGATTTCTCGATTATCCTGACTTTTTCTCTAGTCCCAATTTTGTCATGAATATTTATTAGTCATGATCAAGATCCGTAGCAATATTCTTTTTAAAACTACAGCATTGAAAAGTACAGTCAAAAGTGAGTTTGTTTTGCTTTTAAAGAGCAAAAGCAGAGCTCACATGTGTCGTAACTAATGAAGAACACTCGAATGAGATCTGATTGGCTCAGAGTTGAGTGGTTCAAGATGTACAGTAGACCATATTGTTTTCCAAACGATTTGTAAAAGTGTTGTTACACAATTAAATGTTGCTTTATTTAAACAGTTTTGTTATTCATTAATATTCATATTTTCAATTATCCAGACCCTCAATTATCTGGACTATTCAGTCTAGTGCCAATGGGTCCGGACAATCAAGGTTCAACTGTACCTTAAATCTGGAAACATTCTGTGAACAGGATTTTCCTTGGTCACTATGCTTGCAATTAAGTATTGTGTTTTCCAAAGACTTCAATAGACCATTGCTGAGTTTTTTTCAAGTTTTTATACAGGGCTGTCATAAAGGGCCGTAACCCATAACACCTGCTATAGCTGAATGTCCTTGATGGGTCCCTGATGTTACTAGTGAATTTCCCTGCTGTTGATATAGTTCCCCCACAAAGTAACGAGTTTGTTATGGGTGAGAAGATCAAGGCAACAGGTAACTCAAAACTTAATGACAGTCCCATAATATAAGCTGTGTAACAAAAATCTGTTGATACTGTTGAAAAAAGCACCTCAAAATGAAGAAAATTACCAAGTTTCAGGGTTCTATATTGTAAAATCACAACGTTATAGCCTAAAAAAAATAGTAAGTTTTTATTTTAGGAAGTGTAAGAAGCTGGTAAGGAGTGAAACGACTGAGGGTTCTTGTATGGAATTTATCAGGTACCGGATGCNGGGGGGGGGGGGGGGGGGGGGGGGGGGGGGGGGGGGGGGGCAAGTTTGTTTCCCTAGGCATTTCACTCTGACTGTTGAACCACATTTCTCAATTTCCTACATAATCTAAATCAGAGAACTAGTAGTGTAACAAACCTTCTACACTAACATTAAGCTTCCCCAGAGATTCTGCTGACTGAGTGAATGCATCATTACCGACCACTGGCAGGACACAGGAATCATAAAAATAACCAATATGGTGGGCATTTGGAGAAATTGAAGAAACCACCAGGTCCACTGCTAACTGACCCACATTTCCTATTGAAACAGCCGGCTAAAAATATATACTGTGTTAATAAAAGTGATTTCAACGTAACCTAACATTGTCATTGATCTTAGGTAAAAAATGTTCCTTACCAGAATCAACGTAAATTCACTCCAGTTGACGTCCACATCTTTCTTACTAGCAACAAACATTTTACAAAAAGCAGGATGGCAATCCCATGAAATGGCTGTAGTTCGAAGCACAGGAGAAACTTTCAGATGCTGGATTTTTCAAAGACATTCAAGAGTTTGTCGAGTCATTCAAAGTCATGTGCCTTTTCTCCAAGGCGTTTCTGGACGAAACAAGAAAGAGCATGGGTCCCAGTACGCACGGTTACCAAGCAGAACAACATGGCGGAATTTCCTGAATTAGGAAAACATTGTGATGTACAGACTTGTAAACAGCTAGGTAAGTCCGGCTTAGTGGACTTGTGTTCTTTTTTCCATTGGCTAAACGTGTTAGTGACTCTTGCAGCCAATTCCGGCGCCAATTCCGGCAAGTGAATTGACGTTTACGTCAAGTTTACGTCGGGGCCCTTGTCAGCTTAGTCTTTTAAAGTCCTTAAGATTTTTTTGAATTGATTTGTTCTTAGATTTTCTTCCATTTGTTTGCCATGGATGTTCTGGAACCTTTTGGTAAGAACGAGCTTGTTTTCTTTTAAACTGAAATATTTTGTCGACCCTATGTGTAAGTTTAATTCCTAGTGAAAGGCTTGCCAATTTAATTGTATTTAAGACTTAGTGATTGATGGATCCGGGAGAATTTTATAAATAAGCCTGGGGATTTCACTTTGCTAAAAACTCCTTTTTTCATTGAGAAGAGAATGAGAAATATAAAGGATAACTTTTCTTATCCATTTGATGACATACCTTTTACCTTCTTTGCTTGAATCATGAGATTTGTACTGGGGATTCAGGTTGGGGAGAGAGGGGCAGGGGGGGAGTTGGGGGGAGGGGACTGAAAGGCAATTTCAGGATGTTTTGCATCGGGTAACCCGAAAACACTGACTCCCGGTCCGTGGACCCCCACAACGCACCAGGTCCGCGGACTACTCTACGGACCCCCTCTACGGACCACCCTAAAATAGTGTAAAAATAATAAATAAAGATTTCTCTTATGGGTTTTCTGATATATTCAGACTCATGTCGGTGATTTTTTGAGTGTTACACTGTGCAAATGTAACAGACTTGGGTTTTTGACACCCCACCCCTCCCCTCCTGAAAAAAACACTTAAAAGCTGTTTTCAGCGTAAGGAGATGCCGATGGTAAGAAGGAAAGTTCTTACCTTCTATTCGTAGCTCAATCTGGCTATGGAAGATATATTTTTAGGCTGTTAATAAATTGTTGTTGTATCTGTTATTCCACTGAGCAAATTGTGAAGACTGGAACGAGTTCACGAACCCACGGGAGAATGGGCTGAACAAAATGGCAGAGGGGAAAGAACACAAATTTCGAGGCTTCCCTGAGCCTTCCCCGTATGCATCTTTCATATACTTTATGGCCACAGCAAAGGAAATGGCAATGTGTAATGATTTAAATTGCACCCGAGCCTGAATCCAGGTCTGTTACAGTTGCTCAATGTAACGTTTGAAATTTCACCATCACAAGTAATCTATTAGACAACCCGTAACTGAAATATTTATTTATTATTTTTATTATATTTTTGGGGTGGTCTGTAGAGGGGGTCTGTAGGGTGAGTCCGTGGACCGGTCCATAGGTAGTCCGCGGACTAGGGGTCAGTGTTTTCGGGTTACCCTTTTGCATCAGAATACAGAGAACAGTTATCAAACAATCCCAGAAACATTTTGACAGCCTTTAAATTGTCAACTTTGTCTGTGTGATAGCTGTAAGATCAGGATATTCAACCTCCAGGCATAAAAGTTGGCAGGTACAATGTAGAGAGATTTGCAGATGTGTACATGTATATATGAAGGGCATGAGCTCACAATTGCAGTTTATGCATTCCATTTCTAACAAACAAATGTTTGTGCAGATAATTTATTAGACTTTTTATTAAGTAGAATTTTCTCATTTTCAGTAAAATCATTGTTGAAATACATTCACAAGACATACATGTGTGTAAGGGCTATAGATAAAAAAAATAAAAAAGTCTTGAGAGGCATAGTCCAGGTAATGTTTTGACTGTGCTGTTTTTTCACTTTGTTTAACTTATGCGGATGTAGTAAAACTAACAAAGAGTTTTTGCAGTCTAGGGCACCGGTCAAAAGCATCTCACAGCTGCACTGCTGATGATCAGAAATATGAGGTACATGTGTATGTATTGAAATAATGACAGAAAAATAAATAATTCAGCAATGACTCAGCTACAATCATAGACAAAAGTCTTGGGACAAATTTGCACTTTTGGTACTTTTGTGCACACTCCAGATATGAATACAACTTCACCTGCCTAACCTCACCCCCTTTCCCCCATACAATGTTGAAAACTACTGTCTGCAATTTCTTCTGATTTTCAACGTTGTATTGGGTGGGGAGGGGGAACAGTAACACGTTTTTAAAAGGAAAGCAGGGCTTTTGTCAAACTTCAGTAGCAAAACACAGATAATTCGTTAAATTACATAAGTGTCCCAAGGACTTTTGTCCACGATTGTAGATGTTGTTTGTGTCACAAATATTTGTATTCTCTAATTAGTCTAGTGTACATTGTAGATTAGATTCATTTGATATCCATTAACTTTTGCCAGTATCAGATTATCAACGAAAATCAATGAGGACAAAAAGGTTGTAAGCTCTCTATCAAAGATGAATTTATAGTGTGATGGATTATCTATAATTTTTATTCTTTACCAATTATTGTTATAATTTAAACAATTTGTTTCTATCTGTACATTTTAATTGATTCTTATTAATTGCAGATATCAAATAATAGCAATAAGTTAGTGATTTTGATTGACATTGATTGTACCAGCTGATCTCCAATTATACCAATTTATGTCACTTGATTAATACCTGTAATAAGTGGGTGGAACATTATCAGCAACTGATCTGTTTATCAGCATAGTGATTTCGTCTGATATTCTTATTATAAAGCACCCAGTCAACAATGAAGGCAAATTTGTAACAGAGACAACAAACACTGAAGGAAGAGTGTACCTGGAAAATGCATGTGCTTGTTCCTTCTATATCTTCATTGTGAAACAGTAATTTATTCCCATTATCAATATAAATATATTAATGAAATCAATCATTTATATTATCACTATAATTTATAATAGTAAGCAAGATTGTATAAGTTATAAAATTAATACACTTTTAATAAAGCTTTCTTTGTAACCACCCTTGTAAGCAAGGAGCACTAGTTATGACCCTTTTATGTAGTCTGTGTCAATTGTCATTCAAACTTGTAGTTTATTCTCTTGTTAATGACTGCTCTCTTAGCTGGCTACAGTCACTTAAGTAAACTACCAACTGGTCCTTTCCCTTGTCCTAATGCGCCTTTCAATGACATGCGGACTCTAAAATTCAAAGATCAACCAACAAATGCATTTTTTGCTACCATCAATCAAATGTTTGGTGACTCCTCCCAGCTTTCTTGTCAGTGACCAGCCTCAACTTGTTTTAGGGTGTGGTTGCTTATTATAACTCATTGTCACAAGCTACCATCTCTAGTGACAACCACTTATTCAAATTTCTACCTAAAGGTGCTTGCCTATGCCTATGAGAGCTTCAATTGTAAGAAAAAGAAATACTAATTTATCTCTTTATCGTCTTGTTTCAGGAAAATTCAGCAAAGACTTTGGTTACAACAGAGGGTCACTTGGAGTGTTCATTTGAAGAGTGCGGTGGTCATGAGCTGGTCCCTGTGATATGTGAACACTGTCATAAGAACTACTGCTTCAGGTATTTTCCCACTAAGGAAACTTCTCGTAATTAGTTCCGTTCCTACTTAGTTATATGATGTATGATTATACTGCTGACCATTGTTGTTCTGTACTGCAGGCACAGACATCAGGTTGATCACCAGTGCTCAGTTCTCCCTCAAAAACTGCCCAGAGTAACACCTGAAGAAAGAATACAACAAATCATTGGTGAATCAAACTTTTTTATTACATGTAGATTAGTTGTCTACCTCAATTGGCTCAGTTATGATATTTAGGGAGTGATTCCTCACAGAATCACATCTGATTTAAGACAGAAATCATCTTGAATTATACATTGTTTAATGAATCAACCCATATATATATACCCATAAGGCTCAGGTGTCATTGAGTTTTTCACAGTTGTCCTCAGTACTCATTAGTTGTTGGTGTATGGTTCAATTAAGGAGTATTTTTATTCTTTATTTAGGTAAAGAACTTTCCAAAGAAAAGAAAGGTATGAGGCCTTGCTGTTGTAGATCTAGGAAAAATCAGACCCCCNCCAACCCCAACCCCAACCCCCACACACCAACTGTAACACACCACCCTCTCCTCTCCATTTTACTTGACATTTCACATTAGGTTTAGTTATATTTTCAGGACATTTTTGCCTTATGAATGGTTTGTTTAACTAAATTATAAAAGTGATACAGTAAAAACCTGTGTGTAAGAACCTAGGGATTTAAGAACCTTCAGGCAGAAATTTGCTTGTTTAATACCCCAAAATATAAGAACCTGTTTAGCCAAACAAATTCCAACAGGTTCTTATATGTGGGGTTTAACTATTTAATTTATATATATTTTTACCAA